AAAATAATTATTAAATTATTTAGATAATTGATAATTAAAATTTTGATTATACACTGATATTTGATGTAATGAGATGGGGACTGTATTTTCAAAAGACATTTCACGTGGAATAATTTAATGGCATTGTAGACATTATTTTTACAAAAGACGTGAAATTAAACGTATTGGTATTGCAGACGGAAAAAACAAAAAAAAAAATCGGCAGAAAAAACATTAAAACATCGCTTCAGCCTCAAACAACATTAGAACAACAATTTTCACGATTTATAATATTGAGTTGCATAATAAGACAGTTTTTTTTAACTCATTTAAAAAAAAAAAAGCTTATTAGGATTATTTCGATCAGTTTCTTATGACCATTGTTTAATTACTTTTTTTTAATATCTTTATAGTTAAGGTGTTTACATTTTAAGACTATCTCCTTAAATGATTTTAATTTTTTTAGATATTAATCCAAAATTTAAATTTTAAATTAATATTTTGTTTACATATACAATATTTTATGAAATTAATTAGTGTTTATCCGTCTTACTTTTAAAAATATTAAGAAGTAAAAAGATAAAAAAACACCTTAATTCATGTTTTAAAAATAAAATATTTTAATTTTTTTCAATAAATATTTATTAAAATAACATAATTTTGAAATAATATTCCTCCTAATCTTTAAGAAATTAAGAGGTGAAATGATAAATACTATTTTCATATTTTATTTATTTATGAATTCAATCTTTGAATTTAATTACTTTTATATAATTGTTCATTAGTGTTACTTATATTTAAATTGGGTCCTGTTAATTAGCTATGTGGTCGATCCATTGTTGCCTACTAAAAGAGATTTGTAAATTCGATCATGATAGGACCAACGAGAAATTAAGAAGAGAGCATCGTTAACATCATTTTCTCTTTTATACAATTCGGCCCAAAATTAAATAGCAGTTCATTGTCACGCCAACAGGGTCCAATTAATTGCATAATTGTCAATATCACGCGAGAAGATTTGAGAAATTTTCATGGTTGCAAGAACGAAATCTGACGGTGGCTAAGGAAAAAGAAAAGAAAAAGATGTACCATAAGAAGAGAAGGAAAATGATAGAAAGCGAGGAATTAAAAATATGACCATCAATCAAACACGCTAAACACACATTGCCTTTAATTAAGTGGAGTTTCTAAGAAATTTCAGTAAAGAAAAAGGGAAATGATGTATTGTGATAGAGAATAACATATATTACTCTTAATTTTATGAATTTTAATTTAAAAATATTATTTTTTAATAAATATATTTTAAAAATTAATTGGTAAATTTAATATTTTATTTATATAAATTATGTATATTAATTTTTAAGTTGATTGAATATATTTAAATAATTTATTAATTGTACAAAAATTTTACAGTGTTAAATTTGTGTTATAAATTTTATTTTTTTAATTTATAAATATTAAATTAATTTAAAATTTAATATATATACATGATTTGACATAAATAAATCATTTAATTCAATAGTTAATTTTTCAAAAACATTCATTAAAATATGTTATTTTTGAATTGGGACTATGGGGTCAAGAGCAATTATATGCACCATTCTCACGGAGATAATACAAACTTGAAGTTCAACAAATCCTTTAATTGAAAAAATAATAAAATAAAATAAAATTAACAAGCATACAAACTCGAAAGTTCAATTCGATTGCGGAAATCCAGGGCAACCATGCAGGAAGTTTAGGACAAGAGATCAACATATGACCACTTAATGGGGAAAATAGCTATCTAGAACTGGGGACAGAAGCCGGTTCCTGAGAACTTGTGTCTGTTCTTCCGGTCAAAAGATGTCTGATTCTGAAACTGGGCGCGGAATTGCCCCTGCGGCTCGGACCAGAAGGCGTTACGTGACCCTTCATGAGAATACGAGACGCAATCCTGTGATCGGGGAAATCTTGCCGCACCTCCATATCAACCCTTGACATTCTTGAAGCTGCAGAATTTGATGGTAATGGTTGTGGATCTGTTCGGATTGCCAAAACACTTGCTGACAGAAGCATGAGCAGAAACAATATTGTTACAGTAGTGAATGAGAGAAGTCTCTGAATATTGATGGTAGCCATCTGATTTGAAGGTTTACTAGGAATTTGCGGAGTGCTTTTGATCTATTTATAGGAAGGAACACATACAACTTAGAACTAGAATGTATATAACATATGGTGAATTATCAATTTTGATATATGTCACTTAAGGAAGAAAAGCACAAAAAAGTGAATAGGACGTAAGATGAAAAGGAAGGTGGGGTTGGGGATCACAGTAATTAATATTTAGTGAGCAAGAACCATCATATAAAGAAAAAGATGTGCCTGTATATATTTTGAGAAAAAGGTGTTATACAGTTATGATAATATTTAATTGTATAATACTAATTATTAAATAAAAGTTGAACTTTTGGATAGTGGATGCCCTTCTTCATCTAATAATTTTTGTTTTATCGTCTAAACTGTAAAATAAAATTTTTATATTTTAATTAAATTAATAATTCTATAATGACAAAACATAGTCATCATATAAGAAGACATATTTCTATATTTACAAATCTTCTTCACCTCATGATTTGTGTTATATAATTTAATACAATTTAAATTACACATAACTTTTTATTGTTGAACTATGCTAATATTTATTACTTTTGTTTCAGGATAAGAATTGCAAAACGTCATGATGAATTATTGAATGTAACATATAGTTAGGCCTTTTGCAAGGACCATGAACGTCATATTTGACTTTTACGAAGATATCTCAATCACTAGTATTAGAATACGGAATGAATGATAGGACTTAAGAAATGTTGTGGAAATAGCCAATTATTTAGAGAGGAAGAAATGGCTGGACTGCTTGCGTCAAAGATTTAAAACTAAAATTTCTCGAATTCTTAGATATACATCCTCTACACATTTAATAGTCATTGGACCAATACCTTAACAGTCCCATCGTGCATGGTTAATTGGCTTAGGTTAGGTGTTTTGGAAATTGTTTGATGGAGATGTATGTGCTAGAGGGTAGAGGCCAAGTCAAATAAATGGTATAGTGTCCATGCATTTTCTTTGGGCACAAGCCACCAGACGCCTTTGGTAGCCGAAAGTGATGTAGACTTTGGTGGAATATTTTGGCAACTGATCAATAATCTTGATCCATTAGCTCAACTTTTGCAAAGTTGAGAAGGGTCATTCAAGAAATTAAGGTGGGGGAGTAGAGAGTTCTAATTTTGAGTTTTTTATGTTTTGTAATTTAAATTATAGAAAATGATTTTTAGTATATCAAAAAATTTGTTTTAATCTAATAATTTATGTTATATAGTTCAATATAATTAAAACTGTACAACATTTTTTTTTTTTTTATTTAGTCTTTATGCATCTTCTAATGCATGTGATATGATCATTACAAACTTTTTCTTTGCAATTTCTTGGTAGGGACAGTTTTGATTTTAGTGGGAGTTCTTTTTGTAGATCTCACAGCCATCGACACTGGATTAGATTGGCAATGGAGTTTGAATTTAGTACTCCAATCCATTGATGCTATTGCAGCTCCCAACTTTATGTCTTTATCTCTTGTCAAGCCGCTGTCAATGCTAAAACGCCAATTTCTCCACATTTCTTCCCAAACACGGATTGTGTAGTTTTCTGCTTCAGGTAACTTCATCAATTACCCTGATATCAAATATCTTGGTAGAATACATAAAGACAGAATATTTGGGTACAATTTTGTTTTCTTTATAATTTGTACAAGCTAATTTTCTGGATTTTGTTAGTAATATGAGAACAAAATGTTAAAAG